CCTTGGTGTTGGCCACTGCCACCTCAGATTTGGCTGCTTCGAGCTCCGCGACCAGGTTCTCCCGAGTAGAAACTGCTGAACCCAACTAAGACCGAAGATCCTCTACTTTCTTAGCCTGCACCAAGATTTCCTCCTTCATACCGCGGATCTGGTTCTAGCCGAGGCCAGTTAGGCCCGAGCAGTCTCCTTTTCTGAGGCCAGGCAGTCCATTTTCTCCTTCCATCCTTCGGCCTCAATTTTTAGTGCATCTGCTTCTTCACGAAGTTGCCTAATTACGTCAAGCTTTTGTTGGACCTGCGGGTTAGAACCATTAGCTACTACGCCCGAATCGCCATCACTAACTTCAAATATTCTTCTTACCTGCTCGATCAGTACGGTGTGTTCTTTTTGAGCCGTTTCTAGCTAAGCACGGAGCCTTTAGCTTCCCATTCTCTTTGCTCACTGAGAAGCTTGAAGACATCCTTTTCCTCAGTAAGCCCTCGGATCTCGGCCTCATACTGGCTCAGTTCACCGCGAAAGCGGAGGAAAGCCTCGTGATGAACCGAAGCCTATAAAAATAGAAAGGAAATTTATATAAAGGATAAAAATCTAAGTATGAAATTTGATAGGGATAACAGGGATTACCTGGTTTAGAGCTTGCTGGGCTTTGTTGAAAAGACAAGGTGTTTCCACCTCGTCCATCTTGGCTTGGTCTTCTTCGGTGACCAAGCATCGAAGGTGGCTAGCCACCCCTACGGGGGAGAGAGAACCTGAGCATCCTCCGGGACCGAGATGACAATTGATCGTTTACGCCCGGGATCGATGCTGGGGGCCGGGAATTGATTAGTCAGTTTGAAGCCCGAGAGGGCTTCATTCGAGCTCTTCCTCGATACTTCCAAGTCACCCAGGCCGGTGACATCTTCCACTCCAACAAAGTAACCACGGAAAGGGTCTTCTGCCCCATGGACCCATTCACCGTGGCAAGTCCCCATCGCCTAGGCATCCTGGATCATCAAGTCAGAGAACGAAGGCAATGAAGGGGAATCTCTGATCGCTATTGCCCCAAGTAAATCATTTGGGGCGCCGCCTTCACTCGGGGGGTCTCGGATATGGTTTCTACATCGGCATCCACCGCCTCCTCAATAGCCTTCTCACCTTGAGGGGAAGCAACTTCAGCCTTCCTGGATCGGGGACTTCAGTTGAGGTTTCCTTCTCGGGCTCATCAGGTCGGGGCGGAGCAGTTTCAGCTCCCACCGACTCGGAGATTTTTTGAGTATCAGCGCTAGTTCACACACGGGCCACTTGCCCGGAGTCTTCTTCTTCCTCTTCTCCTTCAGACTCATCCCTTAGTCGAAAAATTGACTCCAAAGTTAGAGGGATGATGTTCCCCTTAGGCTTACAGGGTCTCCTCGCCGGTCTTTTCTTTTTCGGGCCCGGAGGGCTCGGAGACCCTTTTCTTTTCTTCTTCTTGGCCTGCTTCGGGGCATATAGAGATGGAAGTGCCTCTTCTTCAGCAGATGGGGGCCTCATTGCTACATTCTTCCCGAGGCCTACAAGTGAAAAAAGACAAGCAAGCTCGATACAAGCCCCGAACGATAACCCTTCTAAGAAAGAAAATTACTGTGATTACGGGCCTCCCATTGTCCTTTTGATAACTCCGTCCAAGCATGCTTGGAGTATAAATTCTGCGACACTAAGCCCTCGACCCATTGCCTGAGATTGGGGATTACTTCCGGCACATGGGCCATAACTGCAACACAAAAAACATAAATGAGGAAAGAAGATGAGGAGTAAAACGGCAAAGTTAAATATTCAAGGCAAAGCAATACTTACAATTCATGTTCCATTTTTCAGGAAAAGGCATGTCTTCGGCAGGGATTAGGTCCGAGGTCCTTATTCGGACAAATTAGCCCATCCAACCTCGGTCTCATGTCTCGTCTGTGCTCGAGAATGGGGGTTTGGTAGCTCGACGGTAAGCTTGATCAATCCTCCTTGATAAAGTTGGGGACTGTAGAGACGCATAAGGTGATCGAGGGTAAAAAGATGCTCATCGATTTTGCTTACAAAAAATCGGAGGAGGATCACGATCCTTCAGAATGATGGATGGCTTTGGCCAAGAGTGACATCGTACCTCTTGCAAAAGGTGACGATGATGGGGTCTAAGGGACACATCGTGAAGGGGTAAGTATAGACACTTAGATACCCCTCCACATGAGTGGTGATAAATTCATCGGGTGTAGGAACTACTATATCTTTGTCCACCCAATTGCACTCCTCTTTCACCTTTTTGAGGATGTCTTTGGTGATCGTGCATATATACCTCAACATCGGTTCGCATCGACCGGTACCGAGGGTGTATTCTCTACCTTAAAATCAGTAGCAGTGGGCAACTTTGTTGGAACGAAGTCCTCTAGGGGAGGTTCCACCGCGGCTCCGTCGCCGGCTAGCCGGGACGAAGAAGCAGTTTCTTTTTGTGGCACGGTTTTGGAAGTTTTAGCCATTGAAGAACAAGGAAGAAAGATTTGAAGATGGTACGCGATTCGCTTAGGGATCAAGGAACTTGGATGCGGAAATTGTGAAGCAGAGGGATTTGTTGAAGGAAAGCAAATGTACTAAAGACTTTGAGCGTAAAAGTTTGAATGAGGAAAGGCTAGGGTTCTTATAGGAAGATGACGACGGTTCAGAACCGGTAGTGGCCGACAACGAGTGAAAGACATTTAATGCCTCAGTGTCCGAACCGACGGGACGTCTGAGTATCCACTTGCTGCTTACGTCACGATATATCGAGGCAAAGATCAAGAGCTCAGGTTTCTTGTGATTACTCTCCAAAAAAATGAGGGGACTATCTGTATACGGTCAAAATCAGGCTTGCCCTTTTTATGATTAATCGAGACCAGGGCGTAACAGGCCGAGGTTCGACCCCGTGTCATACCAGATCGTGGCGTGGAGTTAAATTGTCAAGATCGTGACTCAAGGACCAATCGAGATCGAGATCAGCCAAGATCGAGATCGAGCGGGATAAAGTTCGAGCGAGATCGAGGAAGGCTTACTAAGCCAAATAACGGAAAACCGAAATATCCGCAATTGGGCGAGGATCACTGCGGAGATCTCGGCACGTATCAAGAAGAGTCCGATCAATTAGCTAATCATGAGATTTCTTATTGTATTTAGAATTGTACCAAAGATTGGACTCCCCTACTATATAAATGGGGTCTGATCATATGTAAAAGAGATCATATTCACGTTACGTAAAGCAATATATCATCTTCTTAAGCTCTCAATACGTTATTATTCCGTTCATACTTTCAAGTAAAGTACTTGTTTGATTCGAGGGTGACCTAGCTCGAGGATCGAAGATAGACATTTCATTTGGTTTGCTTTATTCCTATTTTCAGTTAATTTCAATATCAATATTGCATTTCTTTCAGTTTATGCTGAGTAAATCACGCGTCTTTAAAATCATTGTATAAATTCAATTGTTATCCGTTTTTTGGGTAAACAGATAATAGAATTAAAGCATAGTTCAGATAGTTCAAGTATGGAACTTCCAAAAACTTGATAGTTTTAGATATTCTATTTAGCCCTTTCTCTAAGTTCTAAGATATGGTTTAATTTTATTTGTCATTTCAACGAGTTATGTTTTTAAGAATACACCATGAAGTAACTATTGTATATGATGTGAAGTATTACTTATTTATCCGTTTAAACTATATTGCAGTACAGAAGCTCGTATAGAAAGAGTGTCTTTTATCCCACAAATCAGTCAAATAATACTACCATTTTTTTTTTCCCGGTAGAAGGAAAAACCAAATAAGGACAGTTAAATAAGTAAAGAAAAATTCAAAATATAGTGCACTACAGCAAGACTTGAGGTCAAGTCAACCACTTCAAAACAAACGCTTCCAATTCTTTTTTTTTTTTTGATTTCTCGCCCGATGTTCGATACTCATATTGGGATCCGACTAATCCGGATTCGCGCCGGAAAAATTCACATTGAGGGTGTAAAGCGCTCCCTAACAAAGGCGACTCCAATTCTATAACACGGTTTGGAATGATAAGATGAGGTATACAGGTGTTACTTATTTCCTAGGTTTGACTTAACTTTGAAAGTTTTTGTTTGCATAAACAAAAAGCATGCACAAAGTGGATACGATGACTTACTCAATTGGCTAACAAGCTTTTACATATACAAGATGCACGACCCTTATAATCATCGTTTAACTTTGGATAATTCCATCAAAGGACAAGAAATTTCAGTAGATTCAAATTAATAGGTAAATTCATGTAAGAAATGAGATAATTCAGCAGCGCACGAGACATGAGTCATTTCATTATTTATCATTTTTTTTAAATCTTCTAATTTCAAAATGATTCCTTTTCAAATTTGAGACTTCGTTGATCATGGACTAATAAACAAGGAGTATAGTAATTTTATTATAACTTCTTGCATAAGTAGTTACATGCGCGAAGTAATAACTTTACTGTCTTTGACTAGGACTATATAAAATTATTTACAAATGATAAGAGCACCTCAAAAATAATTAATAGCTTAAGATAATTTTAATTCAATGTGAGGTAAACTGCTTACTGTGCAATAGCTCACAAAGGAGATATAAATTGCACTAAGACAAACTAAGATGTAAAACGCGCTAGGCAAATCCGGTGCAACGAGCTCTAATTGAAAAGGCCGTTGGCGAGGAAAAACGATCTGGAATCTTTCATGTGAGAAACCACTCACCTAACTAACTCAGCCAACTTTTACGGGTAGTGTACTACTTTTATAACACAAGATTTATATATATAGAATAGTATGAGTTAGTTACACCACCCGCTAAATTCCCGCAGGAAAAAAGTTTTCAGTAAGAAGTAGAATATACATATAGTATTACGTATTTACGTTCCAAAAATCACGTTAAACACTGACTATGAGTACTACCTGTCTGAAGTCTGAACTCAAAACTGTATTCCATTTCGGCGGCCCCTTTTTGCTTTGATACCCCCCAACCCTCAAATACCCCCCCATCCCCCCACCCCCCGCACTTTTCCATTAACCACCTTTCTCCGTTGTTTCCTATTTTCTCTTTCAATCAACTCTTTAACCCATCTGCAGTTACTCTCTTTCTTTCTTTTTGACCAAACTCCAGTTCAGCTAGAGACTCTTTTCTTTGATTAACAGTGATTTCTTTTACCAACCCCAGTTCTTGAAATCTTTTCTTTGATTAATTCAATTGCTGGTTCAAGATTTTTACTAGTGTTTAGATCGGAGCTAGTTCCTTTGTGTATGTGTTGATGGCTGAGAGTAGGCGTTATGGTCTTAATGCTCAACTAGGTCAGTTCCTTTAGCTCCCTTTTTTGGGGGTAAATTTCTCTTTGGCTTAAAGATTCATTAAATCGTTTTTTGTTTTATTCATATTAATTTCTTTGCATATCAAGTTCTTGATTTGCTATAGGGCTTTGGTTCACTAGAATCCAAGAATCGTACCTTGTGAAACATTTGATTGAAAGAACTTTAGTTGTTTAATCTTGGTATTTTTTTACCCAAAAACAATTAATTTGGTCACTCTTGTTACATGGAATCACTCAAAAGAGTAACCTATGATTAAAAAGTCACTTCAGAGCAAGGAATACCGGTGAAGTGATCAAATATTGATTAGAAAGTCACTCTAATCAGATGCATAATGGCTTTTCTTTGAGCATGTTTACCATAATTTTCTGCATTAGTTTGTCTAGCATACTGTTTGGCTTTTAATTGTATCTCCTGTGACTGGAGGATTGGTTGGCCTTGGTTCACGTATGTTGAGAAAGTTTGTGGTTGAATGCAGATATTGATCAGATACTTTTAGAAGCACAACATAGATGGCTACGCCCTGCTGAAATTTGCGAAATTCTTAAAAACTATCAGAAGTTCCGGATTGCTCCAGAGCCTCCAAATAGGCCTCCAAGTATGATCATTAGCTGAATATCTTTTTTCTCTTAAAATGTGATCGGTGTAGTTTCTGAATAGAGTTTTTCTTTTCTCTTGCTACACGCTCTCTCTTGATGGTGCATTATCCAGTCTGCTATGTGCTATCTATATCTATGTGTATGTGTCTGGGAGGAAATGTAGTTATGTCACATATCCACGTCTCTGCGTGTACCTGGGGAGACATGCTCGATATTTTTCTCCTCTAGTTCACCCTTCCTCCTTCCTACTTTCAGATAGAGGCTATTTGTTAAAAGTATGTTTAAAATACTTGTTGACATCATTTTTAGCTCCATTTACTAGATTCCAATGTGTAGTCTTTTTATGCATAGTGTTTTCTGTGTATAGCTTTATTTCACTCATGTGTTGCCCCCTTATTTAGACCTCTGGTTAGATGCTTTACGGCTTGTTTTATCTAATTAGTTTTCTTCAGATCACCCTCGGTAAAAAGGACATGTTCCTCTTCCATAAAGCCTAAACTCAATGCCCTTCCACCTCCTTGTATAGTAATTGTTGCTGCCAAACGCACACGCAAGTGACACGGTCGATCAATAATAAAATAGTGAATAGAGTATCGTTCCCACGAAGACTCGTTATCAACTATTCACTAGATTAAAGGATCCTAATTATCGAACAAGAATTAAAACCAAAAGAGCTTGAATCCAAACTAACTAAAACAAAAAAAGAAAAAAGAAAATAAAGAATGAACTCTAGACAAAAGAATAGCAGATTCTTATGTTATCGATGTGATGAAAACGATCTAGGATTATGGATTATCTAACAATTCTATCATACTCTTCAATTGATTTAACTTCTCAATCTATCTAGTTTATTAATTACAAGGTTTATATTACTTGCTGGAATCTCTGACATCTTACTCGCCTATTCAAGTCAATCTAGCGTCTATGTTCCTATGGAATTAGAGTTAACATGAACGCCTTTGTAATTCCTGTATAATGACTAAGCAAGACTGTTATGGTATATCCCTATCCTAATTGCGAAATCATTCACTGAGGCCGGGTTCAGAAACTTGCTCTACTCAATCCTATGTGTAATTTGGAATTCCCTCTACCGTGTGAAGTTTAGCTCCACATAGATATGGTAGCCAAACGACAAATCATCCCAAGAAACATAAAACTTCGGAGTTTGGCAGAAGAAAAGATGAACTTGAAGCTCCATGACCGTTCCTTACCCTCCCTCGGTCAAATGTTGTGCAAAAATCGAGTTTAGGGTGTATTTATAGGTGTAGGAGACGTTTTTGTCCAATCTCAACTCGAATTGGAAAACCTGGAGCGCACGTCTTCTGTGCTTGCAACACGAGAACCTTGACGTCCACCTCCAGGCTTCTTTTGAGCAGGTCCGGCGATGGGGCTCACGATGGCTTCGCTTCACTGGATTGCAGGATCTCTCAACACCTTTGGAGGCCAGGCCTGCTCGCGAGGCGAGCTAGGCTGACGTCTCCTTTTTCAGCTTATTTTCTCTTATGCCTTCAACTCCTATTTGTGCAGAAAAACTCCCTTTTTATGCCGCTTTCATCCAAAATCACTCCTACACATATAAAGCACGTAATGAGCTCAAAATACACCAATAATTGTTTAAACCACAACAAATATTCACAAGATATGAGGCGGAAATGCACTAAATATATGAACTTTTAGCTGAATATCAGTAACTCATGGGCCTGCCAGTTGGTTTTAAGACTGTCGTTTTGTCTCACGTATGTGTAAGTACCTTCATCTTATGTAATCAAGATTATGCTCTACGTACTCTTTTCCCCACTTTTAGGACTTCTTGAGCCTATTTACTGGATGATAGGTAATGTTTGGAAGCTGCTAAGCCTGAATCTGATGTGATGATCTGTAATTATCAAGATTAACCTGCTTGAGAACCACCTATAATTAACTGATGGCATGATAGTGATAAATAAGTTTACATTTCTTCATTAAACTTGTTTTCGCAGTTTCTTCACCAGCTCGTATATGGCACTTTTATGTTTGTAGAGCTTTCGAGAATATGTAGCTATTCCTGGAATCCACAGCGTTTTTAGTGTATTTTTACACTTTTTAAATTGACTTGTATGGCCCTTCCAGGTGGTTCACTGTTTCTTTTTGATCGGAAGGTTTTGCGGTATTTTCGTAAAGATGGCCATAGCTGGAGAAAGAAAAAAGATGGGAAGACTGTGAAGGAGGCTCACGAGAGGCTCAAGGTAAAACTGATGGGATCCTTATGATTGTGCAGAAGCCTATTAAATTTATATGTCCTTGATTTGAAAATGTTAGTTTGGGATTGAGGAGTACTTGTTGTACTTAATTCGAATGTTAGACATTCATGGAATTATCATTCTATGAGGGCTTTGTTCTTGTATTAGGGAGCTGATCAGAAATTAATGTTCTTACAGGCTGGAAGCATTGATGTATTGCACTGCTACTACGCCCATGGAGAAGAGAATGAGAATTTCCAAAGACGCAGCTATTGGATGCTCGAAGAGTAAGTGAAAAGATATAATATTAGTTTTAGCACACAGATTTGCTATTATAGGTGTATTGCTCTGACCTTGGAGCTAAAAGTCAATCCAGACTTTAATTCATGTCGAACAATTATGATCAAGTTAGACATCTTTAATTAACATTTACATGGTAATTGCAAGTTAGGTTGGTAGGAGTTTAGCATGTTCATCCCTATAATAATAGTAATACTGTTATGGCACTGTAAAATTATTTGTTATTATGCTTGATGGGTGTTACTTCTATATGATATTTGGCTTACCTTTTTGCTTTCGATATTTTGCATGATCTAGGTGATTAGACGCTTTAGAATGTTGAGGGGTCATTATTCCTTCAAAAGGTTGACACATGATGGATGATTAATCTATTAAAGGGTATTTTGTGCACACTTTGCATCGAAGACCAAATAATCATATCGTTGTTGAATAGCGTTTACTCCTTATTGAAAAGTTCAAAACGTTAGAGAGGGACACATTTATTTGTTTATTTTAAGTCCTGTCACAAATGTTTTTACTAATGGATGGTGGTGAGACTCGATCCAGAATTTTTGCTTGCTCTAATGCCATGTTGAATAGTATGAACTTTCTCGTCTGAAAGCTTAAATGGTTAGATAGGGGACACTTACTAATTTATTTTAAGTATTTATATCTTGTGTATTTTCTTAAATCATAAATAGCACGGGCTATCAAGAAAGGTGTTACGATTCCATTAAAAATTCTGTCTCATAAATGACACAGTATAACTTGATCAATTCATTCAAGGATGTTTTATGCACATTTTGCATCTTTGTACTAATAATTCTCCTGTTATATATTGTTTTGAATCTTGAATAGCATGGACTAAAATGCTATCTTGTCTACAAAGTTAGGTATTGAGCTCTCCTACTTGAATAGATAAGCTAAAACTGTTAAAAGAATCTGCAATTAAGTTTACTGTTGTGTGGCAAAGTCCTGGAGCGTGCGCGCACACACACAGTCACACACACTTTCTTCTATCCTTGTTTCCTTTCTAATTCTATGTTTATGTTCCTTCTTCTTATGAAATCCTACGCCCCCCTCCCCAAGAATGTTTTTGGGGTCCATAATACGATAAAAGTGTCTCACTGCTGTCGCTGTCAACCAACGTGCCTAGAAGTTTAGTTTTGGTTCGCACATCACTCACTTCAATTTCTAACCATCATTGTCTCTTCTAACCATTGCTTAGCATCCTCATTCTTTTTCTTTTTCCTCCGGGAACACTTATGCAGGGAAATGTCACATATTGTTCTTGTCCACTACAGGGAAGTAAAGGTATATGCTTGCCATCCTCTACCTCTTTTCCATTTTGCTTCTTTTCTTAGACTTTTTTGTACTTTCTTCAGCAGTTGGTATAATAGTCAACTTACAGCTGAGAAGTGGTTATATTTCCTTTTCCCCAGTTGCCCAAGGCAGCATAGTATAGAAGAATTTCGTATGAGATGATTTAAGGGCACAATTTCAAATATAATAATGAAATAAATAAAGTTGCTACAAAATGATTTGCATTGCAAGGAGGCCTTGTCATGTTCAAACAATTTTTGGAACCAGCTGGTGCATATCTATTCGTGATGTTAGTAATGCATCTTAACATCAGAGTTGTTTACTGCTTGTAATTGAAACGTGTTCAGAAGTTCCTAACCTTTATTTGAGAGATTCATCATGACCTCAGTAAAGTACCGCGAATCTTTGTTGGTCCAACATTTTATCTTAAGAAAGTGAAACTGAATTCATCATTAAAATAAATTTCCTCATTTTCTGTAAATAGATTTGATTGTCATGTTCTTTTCCTTCTGCAGGGTAACAGGACAAATTTTAGCCGTACCAGAGAACCTCAAGAAGCTACTCCTCGTTTTCAAGAAACTGATGAAGATGTACACAGCTCTGAGGTGGACAGTTCTGCTTCTACAAAATTTTATCCAAATGATTACCAAGTGAACTCACAAGTCACCGACACGACCAGCCTTAGCAGTGCGCAGGCCTCAGAATATGAGGATGCTGAATCAGGTATTTTGTTTAATCACATGTTTCTGTATCAGGCGTCAGAATAAACTGTTCTGGTACAGTGGGAAATATCTTAGACTTGTCATCTATGGATTGCGCTTTCCATTTCTTTAAGAATTTTTTTTTAATTAATTTTTGTTTGGAACCACAAACTCACCAGCGTACAATCAACATCCAACTTCTGGATTTCACTCATTCCTTGATGCTCAGCCAAGTATGATGCAGAAAGCTGGAGAGGGCCTTCCTGTACCTTATCATCCGATTCCCTTCTCAAGTAATTGATTCTTGTCCTTCTATTTTCATTTGTTATTAGCATTTGTTGCTTCTCTTAAAAATGCTTTCCAAATAGTTCAGTGCTTATATCAATGTGGTGTGACAAATCCGAAAACCTTGTTTGTTTATTTAGCAGATGATCATCAAGTACAGTTTGCAGGAAGTTCTGATATGGATTTCTTCTCAAGCGCACCAGGAAATAAGAGTGGAAACACAGCAAATACATATATACCCAGCAGGAACCTTGACTTCCCATCATGGGAGACAATTTCAGTTAATAATCCTGCTGCATATCAGTCTTACCATTTTCAGCCTTCTAGCCACTCAGGTGCAAATAATATGACACATGAACAAGGAAACACTACAACAGGTCAAGTATTCTTAAATGACTTCAAAAAACAGGAACGTCAGAACCGCATCGACGGCCTGGGAGACTGGCAGGTAAATAATGCTAAAGGAGTTCACTTGTGCATCATTATTTTGTAATAAATTTTGCCTCCAATTTCATGCACATTGCATTGTTATATCTTTGAGGGAGAGGACGAAAACTAGCCCCTGCATGCATATTCTAAAGCTTTCCTTGCGATTATCATGTAGTCCGTCATCACAAGTACTGCCTTAGTCTGCATAACTAATTAAAAACATGGCTAATACTACATGACCAGATGCTCTGGAAATTTAATATCCATGACTTAATATAGGACTGATAAAGGCGAGCAGGAGCAATAGGAGCATGCCAATTTATTATCTCTGGACCTTGTTTCTTTTGACGGCATTCAGCGAAAAAGCCTTCTAGCAGTCATACAGAACTCTAAGGGCCTGTTGGACATAAATACTTGTTTGGCCTTAAATATTTGCAAATACCGAATTTTAATATATGAACTTCAAGTGAGATATTGAAATAGTGGTCCGAGGTGTATTTCAAGTAAAATATTGGTTTTCACTCACAAATTTTTGACCTTTTTTCCCAAGTAAAGTTCATGTCCAGACATACTTCAGCTTCCACAAACTATTTTTCCGGCTTCAACTTAAAGAACACCTTTTTTTCCCCAACTTCAACTCAAATATTGTCCAAATGTTAGTAAGGGAACTGGGGTCTTGCCATCCTTCGTTTGCGGTGAGGTTCCGGCTTTGTTTGTCGACAGCTGAATGTTTCAATCTGGTTTGATTCATGATCACATCTGCAAACTTATCCCGTGGGCTTTAGCGGAGATTTTTCATCTCTCTTTAAAAGAAATTTGAAAGCATCATAAAATTCTTATTGTGTATGTCTTATGGTTCCATTCGATGTCCTATTTGCAAGTGGAAACATAAAGGTAGCGAGTATATCCCCTTCAATCAATCAATCAATTGCACCTCAATCCCAAACTAGTTGGGGAAGGCCACATAATTCCTTTAGATCATTTCAACTCAATTTGAGCCCATCTCAATTCAATACATAGTTTTGTCTAAAGCAAATTAAGGATTATCTGAATCTGTGACTTATCTCTTTCTGTGTGTGTGTATATATATATATATATGTATAGAGAGGGAGAGAGAGAGAGGTGATAAATACTGCATTGACAGACATAAATTATTGAGCTTTGCTTTCAATAAAATGCCAAGAGAGAGAGAGAGAGAGAGAGAGAGAGAGAGAGAGAGAGATTATTGAGCTTTGCTTTCAATAAAATGCCAAGCTGTTTTTTTTTTTGAGAAGGAAATGCCAAGCTGTTTTTTGATAATCTGATTAAGCAGTTACCGCTAAAGGTATTAAGTTTTTCACTAGAGAATTTGTTATTTTTTAAGAAGAGCTTTCTATTGCATTTAAACTTCAATCATTTGTGGTGCTCACGACCTCACGTCACTTCCGCTTCCAAACTCTTGTGAACTTTACTATCTTGATGTAGTGGAAAGCAGTTCTTATAACTTGTCGGTGATTTTGTTGTAAGGATTTGTATCAATTAGTCTCCTAAGTTGAAGTCCATGCTAGCCATCGTGTGTCTTGTGGAAAGAAATGAAGTAAGCTCTCATTCTTAGTTTTTGGTGCACCCTTGAGCTTCCTGTCTGTGTAGAATGTCGGGTGGCATTTGTACAAAACATATTATTGCATAGGTTCTCTACGTTTTGCTATACATCATGTATACGAGAGTTTTTCCCACATTAATAGAATTATTAACTTTATAAAAAGAAGTTGAGCCGCCCATTTGGGGTCTTCTCACTGATTCTTGAGTCTGACCGATGTTGAATATAGTGGATTTTGGAAGTAAGGCGCACGATTTCTACAAGAAAGACATCATAGGGGAAGAGGGATGACACATGTTGTTCCATAATTGGTGTGTGTCATGCACTTCCCAGGAGGAAGTGGTCTTGGGCTATTCATGGGGATTTTAGACACGGACTTACAAGTTAATGTGTGTAATAAGTTGCCTGCAAAGAAAAGGTGCATGAAAGGAATTTTTGTGCAAGTTGGAGGAGGAAAGTACATATCAAGCCGCTTGTTTTTGCAAATGTTGATTTTTTCAGGAAAATCTGCAAACTAAGCACATGCTTTTGGAAAGCTTTTCTTTGCCGCAATAATTTTCTCTCTCAAGTGCTTTGAGAATCTCTTAGTTATTTGATGTAATTGTTTTTAGTATAAATTCATTGATTTTCAGCACTATGATAAATTTGTGATGACTGATACTTAAAATCAATAGCACATTTATTTCCTGTTTGCATGTAAACTAAGTACAGTGATGTTGGCTAGGTTTTCTCATTAACTGAAGTTGTCAACTTTGAGATGCAGACTTCTGAAGGTGATGCTGCATTTTTATCCAAGTGGTCCATGGATCAGAAGTTGAATCCGGATCTGGCATCTGATCATACCATCAGGTCTAGTGCTGCATATAATGTAGAACTTCACAATTCCTTGGAGGCTTCCCATATACTTCCTTCCCACCAAGATAAACATCCAATGCAGAATGAACTTCCATCACAACTTTCAGATGCAAATGTTGGAGGCTCTCTAAATGCTGAATTAGATCACAATCTAAGTATAGGAGTCAGAACCGATCATTCATCTTTAAAACAACCTTTGTTAGATGGCGTCTTGAGAGAAGGTTTAAAGAAGCTCGATAGCTTTGACCGGTGGATGAGTAAGGAACTTGAAGATGTAAGTGAGCCACATATGCAATCCAATTCTAGTTCCTATTGGGATAATGTCGGAGATGACGATGGAGTTGATAATTCCACAATTGCTTCGCAAGTGCAGTTAGACACCTACATGCTAAGTCCTTCACTCTCCCAAGATCAGTTCTTTAGCATTATTGATTTCTCACCAAGCTGGGCATTTGCTGGGTCAGAAATTAAGGTGAACTTTTATATCTATCCTGCATTCCACATTGAAGCCAGGGTTCTGTTTAAGATTTTTAATGTCTCACCTCTTTTTTTATTGCTCTAAAATAATCTGAAGTCTTCCATTCATGTATGGGTGATAACTCTTTGTTGTTTTGTTAACAGGTTCTCATCACTGGGAAGTTTTTGAAATCCCAGCCAGAAGTGGAGAAGTGGGCATGCATGTTTGGTGAGTTGGAAGTTCCAGCAGAAGTAATAGCTGATGGTGTTCTACGCTGCCATACACCTAATCAAAAGGCGGGAAGGGTTCCATTTTATATAACATGTTCCAATAGGTTGGCATGTAGTGAAGTAAGAGAATTTGAATTTCGGGTCAGTGAGGGTCAAGATGTTGATGTTGCAAATAGTTGCAGCTCCAGTGAAAGTCTTCTTCATATGAGATTCGGAAAATTATTATCTTTGGAATCCACTGTATCCCTGAGTTCTCCACCTCACAGCGAGGATGATGTTTCCCATGTGTACTGTAAAATCAATTCATTGCTAAAAGAGGATGACGATGAATGGGAAGAAATGTTGAACCTTACTTATGAGAATAACTTTATGGCAGAGAAGGTAAAAGACCAGCTCCTACAAAAGCTTCTAAAAGAGAAGTTGCGTGTTTGGCTCCTCCAAAAGGTTGCTGAAGGCGGGAAAGGCCCTAGCATACTGGACGAGGGTGGTCAAGGAGTCCTACATTTTGCAGCAGCTCTTGGTTATGACTGGGCTATACCGCCTACTATAGCTGCAGGTGTAAGCGTCAATTTCCGAGATGTGAATGGATGGACTGCACTCCATTGGGCAGCATCATATGGAAGGTAATTTGTCAGATTTTTGTCCCTTTTTATCAACTGTCTCTGATACATTTTCTAGTTTCGCCTTTTCATGTACTTTGGTGGTGGCTTTCTCTAACTTTAATGGACACAAGGATATTAGAACTTGCAAATAGTTGAAATCTGTGCTCTTCAATTTTGGTGGATTCAAGAATTTTGATAAATAGGATGATGAGTTGGCTTTCATCAAATGTTGCTCGAATACTGATTAGCTCCCTCCTTTTTTTTTTCCTTCCTATTTGATGTGTCTTGAAAATTTGCAACATCAGAGAGCGGACAGTGGGTTTCCTCATCTCCTTAGGTGCAGCTCCTGGAGCATTGACAGATCCTACTCCTAAACATCCTTCAGGAAGAACACCTGCTGACTTAGCTTCTAGCAATGGACATAAAGGAATTGCTGGTTATTTAGCAGAGTCTTCCTTGAGCTCTCACCTTTCTTCTCTCGAGTTGAAGGAAATGAAGCAGGGTGAGAATGTGCAACCTTTCGGAGAGGCTGTTCAAACAGTTTCTGAACGGTCAGCTACGCCAGCTTGGGATGGTGACTGTCCACATGGAGTCTCATTGAAGGATTCTCTAGCTGCTGTTCGTAATGCAACTCAAGCAGCTGCTCGTATTCACCAAGTCTTCAGGGTGCAGTCCTTCCAGAGGAAGCAGCTAAAAGAACACGGTGGCAGTGAATTTGGACTATCAGATGAGCATGCTCTCTCTCTTCTTGCTTTGAAGACAAACAAGGCTGGTCAACATGATGAGCCGGTACACACTGCTGCGGTGCGTATACAAAATAAATTTCGCAGTTGGAAGGGAAGAAGAGACTATCTTCTCATCCGCCAACGAATTATTAAAATTCAGGTATGGTACTTGCTTTTTGAACCTTTATGCATGCATAATGCATCTTTTTGCTAAATAATTTCTCAACACAACTTTGTCTTGTCATTTTTTTCTTAGCCATTTTCTTTTTTCTTTGGTTGTTGAAAGGCTCATGTAAGAGGACACCAGGTAAGGAACAAATACAAAAACATAATATGGTCTGTGGGGATCTTAGAGAAGGTAATTTTGCGATGGAGGCGGAAAGGAAGTGGATTGCGTGGGTTTAAACCAGAAGCAACACTTACTGAAGGAAGCAACACGCAAGATCGACCAGTGCAGGAGGATGACTATGATTTCTTAAAAGAAGGCAGAAAGCAAACTGAGCAAAGGTTGCAGAAGGCTCTGGCAAGGGTAAAGTCGATGGTTCAGTATCCTGAGGCCAGGGATCAATATCGGAGGCTGCTGAATGTTGTGTCCGACATGAAGGAAACCGCGGTAAGCATTGTTAGATTTCTGATGCTACACAGAAATGCATTTCATTGTTTGGTGCAGTAATTACTTATCCAAATGAAAAAGAGAATTTAATGATTTTGTGCAATGTCTTTACAAAAAATAAGAATCATCATTTGGTGCTTTTGATAAAGAGAGTGTAGCTGTATGTAAAATCTTCTTTTTTCAGTAAGCTTCTATTTTATTTTTTAATTGTGAAGTTTAGTATCCATTTTAATTGCGAAGTTTACTTATCCAAAAAAAATAAAATAAAAAATAAAGTATCCATTTTAGATGCAATGGGTATTTCGATTTTTCTTCTTCTGAGCTCTTTGATCTATAATGAAGAAGTGAAATGGAATTCTTTCATTACCTTATTTAGAATGTAAATTTCTTCTTTGCTTTCACTCTTGGTGTCCTAGTGCAAGCAAAACTAATATCCTTTTTAGTAACAATAATATATCAACTAGTCCTTTTCATGATCTTCCCACCCTGAATGGGTGAGAGAAGCTTTTTTTTTTGGGGTGGGGTGTGGGGTGTGGTGGGAGGTGGGGAGGGGATTGTTTCTTCGTGAACGTGAAACGATGAACATGGCCATGCATACCCTTGATAGGTGGTCAAGGTTTTATAGATGTTTCATGATATTTTTATCAACCAATTCTAATTTACACATCCAGCATCCTCAACCTTTCTTAGCATGGCTTTACCAGGTATAATTGGCAATTCACTTGGTGAGTTTGACAGTACTATTCAATACTCAAGTTTCTTTCAGTGTGAAACTTTCCTATTAGTAGCTGGATTTCAGGCTTGCTTTTTTCAATGTGAATGGAGTTTTTATGGAAGCAAGACACCAAATTTGACATGGTCATCTCTCTCTTTGTCATGCAGACTACGAGCGATGGTGCACCAAGCAACTCGGTGGAAGCAGCTGATTTCGGTGATGATTTGATCGATCTTGATGATCTATTGGACGACGACACTTTTATGTCTACAGCACCTTGAATTCTGTGTTAATAATATACCATGTGTGAATTAGCATTTGTTACATGGCTATTAGAGTTGTATAAATAGGCTGCACTAACTAGTTTGTAAATCTGAAACCAGACCCGTTGTGCAGAGTGACAAGGTATTTGAGATTTAAAGGTAGCGCAGATTGTCAAGTTCTATCTCTCTCTGCCCCCCCCCCCTCCCCCCCCTCCCTTAATCTCTCTATTCTTCAAATCCGATATGTTTGAAGTTACCTTTACGTTTTACATTGACAGTTGTCTTCTAGTGCTAGTACTATTTATGTTATTTTCTTTTAAATCTGGTACCAGTTCTTGTATGCCTGATTGAAAAAGGAATTAAATGTTCATTATCTCCATAGCTTGATCTCTCAAACCTAGGATGCGAACCTTATAGTGTTTATGATATGATCCAATTAAGGCACTTTCCGTTTCTGTTGATTGTGATTGATCTTAGTTAGTAAAATCAGCTGATGATTAGTTGCTGAGCTGGCTCAATTAGTTAGGAGGTAGTTAGAGGGTAGTTAAAGCACGTGTTATTCACATGGGTCCGGAAATTAGTTACAACTAACTTTTCAGCCCTAACTGATATTCCTTTATTAGCTCACATAGACTTGATTTGTATTCATTCGGTTTTTGAAAAGATAATCAATAAACTCTCTCTCTTTCTCTTCTCTCTAAATTCAGCTGGGTTTACCAGCATCGAGTGGGCTATTCAAGAGTAATTCCTTCCTTGACTCTTTAGGAACACTTAAGTTCTTTCTAGATTTGGATCGCAAAATATTGGACTTGCATCATTGATATCAGAGCACTCCATTCTCGGACCAATCAATGGGGATCACAACACAAGGATGCAGGAATTGAGGAAAGAGGTCGATAATATCAAAGGTTCCATGGATATTGTGGTCAGTTCTGTTTCTGATTTGAGACAGATGATGGATGCAAAAGTAGCACAGGCTATGGAGGAAATCAAAAATATGATATTAGGCAATTTGACCATGGGAGGTGATGCGCAGTCGCCGATAGAAGCAACTGTTGCAGATCGAGTTCCAGCAGTTGTGCAAATCAGGACTGACGGGTATCAATTTCCAACTAGAGGTTAGTAGAATTTCCAAAATTTAATGGAGAAGGGCTGAAGGATTGGCTATACCAGTGTGAGCAATTCTTTGATGTTGATGGAACTCCTGAAAGCTCGAAGGTGAAACTTGCTTCTTGCAAACTGGAAGGCAGGGCCCTTCAATGGCACCAGTCTTTTATGAAGCATCGCGTGACTGGAGAATGGCCTAGGTGGAGTGAACACGTGAGGTGCCTATATGCCAGATTTGGATCAGAATTGTTTGATGATCCTATGGGAGATCTGAAGGACTTAAGGCAGGTGAGTTCAGTGAAAGATTATGTTGATCTTTTTGATGAATTACTTACTAGAGTCGAGTTATCTGAAGACTATGTAGTCAGTTGTTTCATCACAGGGTTAAAACCTGAGATTAGATTGCTGATAAGTAGGGATTTTAACCTATTAATTGTTCACCTTTACTTGTGTTTTGGGCCAAAAATGTGTGAAGGTATTCCGGAAACTAATGTAATATGCTTGCTTGCAGGAACTGTTCAAAATGAGCCAAAGGAGTCATAATCAACTCATAAAGGAGTCAAAACTGGAACAAAAACCAAGACTGGACCAAGAGATCTGAACCACGGAGCGCACAAATATTGTGCGGCCGCGAAAGCCACACCGCCGCCGCGATCAGAATTACGCGGTCCGCGAAAGGGAGGTTCAGAGTTGCATTTTCAGGATTAATGACAAGCGCGGTCCGCGTCAGAATTACGCGGCCGCGATTGAAATTATGCGATCCGCGAAACTCAGCTCAACCCAGATCCAGATTTGAAGAACGCGTATCGCGGTCAGAATTACGCGGCCGCGAAAGCAAGAACGCGGTCGCGCTCAGAATTACATGGCCGCACAACCTCCGCAGGGGTATTTTTGTCCGAAAATTTCAAAGCTTAGTATAAATAGATCTTTTTGACATTTTTAGGGCATGTTATGTATTAGCAGAGCACGTGAGACGGCTGTATATTCCGTTTTGGGCAATTTTGTACTAGAATTATCTTTCAACATTTTCATCTTTTAATCTAGTATTATGAGTTTTATCTTCTTTTCATCTTTAATTTCTGTTATTTCCATGAGTAGCTAAACCCAAACTGGGTTATGACCCAACCCTAGTGTGGGTATTTTATTTTAGGGCTTGAATGTGTATGGGTTAGTGATATTTAGCCTAGTTCTTGCTAGAACTATAGAATTAGTGGTTGCACACACTGATTCATGCCTTTATGACTTAGTCTCTACTTGAGATAGAGGAACTAAGTCTAGGAAAATTAGGCTAACAAGGAATTGGGACGAACTCAAGAAATTGATAGCCCCAATTAAAGGGTTAAACCTAGAGATAGTAATACCCGACTTGAGCTAATATCACTGAAATTGCATGAAGACCCATTTGGACTTGATAAAGCCAAATTGGGCAAAATCACTCAAACTACCGAGAGGTATAGAGTGAGTACCCGGGTGTGATAGCTATATTACAATCCCAATTAATCACGAGCTTGCCCTAGATTTTATTATCCGTTAGATATCCACCTAGGTAGAAGTCACGACCCTAGTCTCTTTAAATATTGGGAAAATCTCACTTTATACCCATTAAATTCAAACTATTTACCCTTAAATACCCATACCAAAACTATTTACTTTCCCTACCTATGCAATAGAAACTATTTACCCGCCCACATTAAAATACCCATGCCTCAATAATAGAATTCTGAGAAATAAAACATTTTTCTCAGACTATGGCTTTTCCATAGGTTCTCTAAACATTTCTACTTACAAGATTGCCATTTACAGTACTTTAAATTTAATTCCTAAAAGGAAGAGAATTAGAAACAAAACCTCGGAAATGGAGTGCTCCAAAGTAGGATCGGGATGGGGAATCCTGTCGTATGCTTCATCGAAAACAACTAACACCTTTTACCCAAAGCACATTCAGATTATATTATCTGGTCTCCAATTAAATGTAGCTAATATTATTCTTTGATGTGTAGATTGTACCTTTGATGCTGGTTTTTGGAGATTTTTTGTACAAAAATTTAAATCCACCATTGACGGACCTTGAAGTTTGAAACTCATAACTTGGTTTATTTGAGTTTTTAATTATTTTGATCCGATCCTGTATGGGTTAGTTTAGAAAGTTGATTGGAGGTTGTAACTAAAGTTTTAGTCAATTTGGTGGAGATTTTATAGTAAATTTTAGAAATTTGGGTTGAAATATAGTTGAACCAGAGAAGAAGGCGAATTTGTATTGTATACGCAAATAGTATACAAATATACCATTTTAGTATACAATTCATTCCAACTATATACCCTATTAGTATAGCTATATACTATATTGGCATCATATGCTAGTTGAATTATTTTTTGATTGTATTAGCTGCATTTAATTGGTATAATATTTGATTTTCTTTTAATAATAGTAATATAGTACAATATCTTGAAATACCTTATTATATTAATATGTGGTACACTATTTTTTTATTTTTCTCTTTATGCATGTGTGTTATGTAATAGTAGTATAGTCATATAATTGCCGGGAATTAACTAGTAAAACTGTATACCATGTTGGTATAGTTATATACCATATTGGTATCATATGGTAGTTTGAACATTGTTTTGGTTGTTTTAGCTGCATTTTAAGCGAATTCTATTATGAAATTATTTATATCAACATGAGTTGCAATAATGCTGGAATTTTTGTGTGCCGATGGACATAAATTGTGTGTATTAATAGTTTTTATAGTTATAGGAAATTGTTGGAACGACCCCATACAACTATATACCTTCTTAGTATACGAAATGAGCAAGCTGTTTTGCGAATATTTAGCTTGCAATACGAGCATGTAATTTTCTCATACTTTTATTGCGTCCTTTAATATTTTGGTAGAGTAGTATAGTCGCAGATAGTTGTAGAAATCATATGCTCTGTTGGTATACATATATACCATATTGGTATCACATGGTACTAGAAGTCTTTTTCGCTACTTATACTTTTTGTTGTATTTTTTGATATTTTATTATCATATTTATTCTAACTAGTATATATGAAGATTTGGTTGCCATAGATTATGTTTTCTTGCTCTATAACTGGTTGTATTACTGCTAATGGTAGAGTGTGTATTGATATTTATAGGGAAGGAGATCAAGGTTTGCATGGCAACCACGTGTTGATTCTTAGAATTTCATTACGTAATTTATGGTGCTCAACAGCAGTCAATGTAATATCCAGTGTATTAGATCAAGTGACAGCTGATATTATTTCAGTTTATAATTGAATTTAAAAAATGAGAAAAAAAGGTATCTTGTACTAGTTATATTAAAAAAAGGTGAACAAATATTTACTATATCAATTATTTTTCTTATTGTATAAAAAAAGAATAATAAAAAATAGTGAAAATGGTAAATGAAATTAGATTATGAAGAGAAAAAGAATATAAAAAAACAAGAAGTTAAATGAAATTAGAAAAGGAAAAAATAAAAAAATAAAAAGAAAACGAGAAAAAAGAAAAGCAGAAAAGAAAAAAAAAGAAAAAAAAAGAAGAAAAGAAGCATAGAAATAAAAAAGAATTGGAGAATAAAGAAAAAATTCCCCACAAAAACTACTATGGGTAGGAAATGTAATTAGTTTATGAGTAGAAAAATAAATAGGTAGATAAGGATAAATAATATTGTTTTTGTGGGTAGCTGTGTCAAAACCCCTTAAATATTTGAAAGCCAACAACAAAAATATTGTTCTTAGTTTCAATCATTGCAATCTTTAGAGTAAAAGTTAGAAGTAGAAATCAAACCCAACATTTGTGGAAGTGTAATTAGATTCAAAACCCGCATCTAACTTAAATATAAACCTAATTCCAATTATTAACTCCCTGTGGATTCGATCCCGACCTAGTTGGGTTAAAACTGCATTGACCATCCTCTCTACTCAATAGTAGTGTAGGCTTGGACCCGATCAATTTTTGGCGCCGTTGCCGGGGACTTAGACGGTTTTAGCTATATATCTGAGTATTTGTGTGTTCTGTTTTTTCTTTCCTTCCGTTTTTCTAATTTGTGTGTGAATTGCTTTT